TTAATCTTTTGTTTCTTTTCATATTTTCCATTTAGTCTTCTCATTTGTTTTTTCAAATTTAGTATCCTCTCTATTTTAATTATGAAAATTTGATTTATTTATTGACTTGACATATAATATTTCATAAAAATGTTAACGTGGCACTTTATTGGACTACAATGTTAGTACATCTATAATATATAATACGATAAAAAAAAATGTTATTAAACAAAGTAATATTTTATAGAGTGATGCATGCAACATTTATTTAATTAGATTCTTTTCATAAAAGGTCACATCATTAGGAAAAGGGGAAAAAAAATAAAAGATACTTCTTCACAGTGAGATGTAAGATGATGGGGGGTGAAAACTGACGTGAAAATATCAAGGTTGGAATGAGACGTGAGATTCTCCCTAATAACTTCACTCCAACACCCACCATTTTGCCTTCCGAAGAGAAACAACAATATTTTTATTGTCTATAAAATTATTATGACTAATAATATATAGAATTACAATTTGAGAATACCTCCATGATTCTAGATAGTAATATAAAAGCTGTAACTTAAATATGGTACAACATTTTCGGTAAAATGTGTTCGGTATAAAAACAATTAATAAAGAAAAAGACACGTGTGTTAGAAAAAAAAATGAGAAATAAAATATAATTAAGTGTTGTTTTTTCCTCCAATTTTTATTAGTTTATTCTCTCTTCTATATTTCAATCATTATATTTGTGACATGTTTCTTTTCTTCAACCAATAAACGGAGTATATATAAATGATGGTTAAGTTTAAAATTTCTATGAAAAAGAATAATCACTGGCTTACTTAGCTAAACCTCTCAGGTCATTAAAGAAATTTAATTCAATTGGTTGATATGTGAATTGTCATAATATTTTTTAATTAGCATTGAGATCAATTCCCACGTATGAAAAGAAAACCAATATGTGATGATCATGGGAAGTTGAAAGTGTTTCAGTGTTCTCCAGTATAACATGCAATACCCTCTACTTACAGTCACCTTACCTTTACCAAAAATGTGCAGAAAAACACCCGACACATGAACAAGAAATAAAAATAAATATTCACATTCTTACGCACACAATTATTTGTACCAGATGTAATAAATTTTGGACCCACCGGAGATACTAAAGATATCATCATATATAATTCAAATTATAAAACCAATGCTATTATCAGTTTATAATCCATTTTCTTTTAAAATGATCTAAGTGTTATGTAAGGGAAAAAAATATTATCTGAAGCGATTCTTACTTTAGAATCTGTCCATATTTCAACTCTTACCAACAGAATATGGGAGGATGCCTTGAGAAATATTAATAAATAAGTATGTGTTTACCATATGAACTTCCTATATCCGGGAAAGATGTAGTAGAAAACATGTAAAACAAGATCGTATGATTTATATATGCAAATTACTCGTATTAATTAAATCTTTTTTGTTTATATATATTAATTGATCATGAAATTCTAATAGAAATATTTTTCTTTGTGTTCCACAGAAATGTTTTAAACGATAAAATTTTACTCAAATGTATAAACACTAAATATTAATATTTCTTCTGGAGAAAATTTGAACCATAATTCACTATCTCAAGTATATTAATGTAATATTTTAGTTCATCGAACCACATTAATTGTAATAAAACAATACTTAAATAATTTTTTTAGTCTCTCAAAATTAATATAAATTTATTTTTATCTTTCAAATTTAAAACAGTTATTTTTAATCTTTATAATTTAAAAAAAAATTATTTTAATCTCTTGATTCACTAATAATATATTTTAAAACATTAATGACAAAAAATTAATTTTAAATTTGAGAAACTAAAAATAAATTTATCTTAAATTTAAGAATTAAATATATATTTAAATTAAAAAATAACATATGTATATCGCATTCCTACGTGTCTTGTATATATAGAGAGAGACAAATTAATGACAAAAAAATATTAAAAGAGTGCCAGCTAGCTCATATAATAAAGTGTGGAGGAGAATAGAAGGACGTAAATATAGGGTGTATCTGAGTTCCTATTACTAGGCAATAGGCATAAACATATTGTCCTATAGATTCTTGTAATTTCCTCGGGCCAAAAATAATTTGTTTCATATATAAGTTTATTTGCTTACATGAATCAGTTAGGTTAAAATTTGATATAGTTATAATTTTTTTTCAATTAAATCCTTATCAATGTTAGGTTGGATTTAGGAACTTCAATTACTTTTTCAGAACTATAAAATATAAATTATTTTCTAAAAAAATTATAACTAAAATTAATAATAAAAAATATTTTATTATGAAAATTATATTTTAAATTTATGATAAATAATTTATATGATGATGCAAGATTACTTTTTGCAGATATTAATTTTTTTAGAAATATAAAAATTAAATTTATAAATAAAAATAAAATAATAATTAAAAGAGATAAGAAGTTAAGAAAAAATCTTAAAATTATTCATCCCATTAAAAATAATTCCTAAAAACACTCTCATTGAAGATTGATATTCTAATTTATAAAGAGAATTCAATATTGTTAAGAAAAATTCTAAAATTGCTCATCTAAAAGCACTTTTATTCTACATTGATATTCTAATTTATAGAAAGAATTCAACAATACTGAAATTTAATTTAAATAAAAAATGTTATATTGAAATAGATAAGAGAGTAAAAAATTTCTAATCTTATTTTCATTGAAGAAAACTTGTTATAAACACCATAGTTGAAAACTTGTCCCGATGTATAAGACTGGTAAAGCTTAAACTTTAGGCCCACCAATAAAACAAAACGTTTGTTACTAATTTTTATAAAATAAAAATTTCACATATTATAAAAAGACATTATATGTTTGCAAAAATTGTCCTGATATATTTGTAAAAAAGACTTAACATATACTTTTAAAGAAAAAAAAATTCTCTTAAAATTTACTTTACTCGGATATCATTGAGCCCACCTTACCCTAGTTGAAAAATGATCCCTAAAAATATTTTCATTTAATACATATTTTTTCTTTGGTAAAGTGCATTCTATTTATATATTAGTATTGTGGCATGTGCAATGTAAATATATAATGATATAATTAAAATTTTATAATAAATAAATATTATTGAATATATAAGTTATAGTATAATTAAGGTTCAACATATAATTTATAATTTAAATTTACGATAAATAATTCATATTACAATATAAGGTTAGTGTTAATTATTTGATAATTTCTTATAGAATATTAAAATTTAATTAAAAATAAAGATAAAAATTATAAAATAAAAGTGGATAAGCAGCTAAAAAAATATTTGAGAGTGATAATAACACCTAAAAACCTAATAACTCTCAAAATACTCTCGTCCAAATTTGATATGTTTTGAATTAATAAGAATAGGGTTCCCCAACAAGTAGTATCAATGTTAATGGTAAAACTGAGTTAGACAAATGTTATAGCACAAAGATGACATTGGATTCATGTGAGGCTGCTTATATCAAAAGTCTTCATGATAATTAATAAAGTGGATTGAGTGTATTTGTATATTGTGAAAGATAATTAAAATGTAATGATGATATATATTGGATATAGAATGGCTAGAGTGAACAGTGATTATGAAGGTTGAAATAGTTGTATAAAGTCTTAATTTCATCTTTTATTATTGCGTTGTAATATTTCATAAAATTAAAAAAACGATATGGTAAAATAAAATAATTTGGTAAATATAATATAATTATTTTGGTAGGGACAGAACACAGAAAGTAGAGCCCGAGGGTTGCTTTTGTAGTTTGAATAATTGTACCACACGAGTGGCATAATTGACTGATTAAAGATTGTGCGGCGTACCATATTGGTTTATTAGGTAAATGTTATGTACTTGTACGTCCTGCTCTCCATCACACTCTCCTTTCCCTCCTTTTCACTCAACAATAGTGCTCTTCCTTTTCTTTTTTCTTTTTTTCTTTCTCAAAAACAACTTAATAATCAAACTTCATCCACATTTTATTCTTTAATATCTTAAACACATTCTATTCAATCTAGTAAAACTCGATAGGTTAGTTTGTATTCTACCAACTGAGCTATACGCACTTAGTTTTAATGAAGTAATTTGAGGTTATATCAAAAACAAATTTATCATACCATTTAATATTTGTAGTTTCTATGAATTATTTAACGATAAAATTAACGGGAATTGATAAAGTAAATAGAAAAGAAAAAAAAAAAAGGTACCTTGGAATGCATAGGATATGACGCATCCATGCTGGTGTGGGTCTCACTGAGGGCAACTAATGGAACCTATAAAATACTGTAACTTCTGTTGTGTTGATCTATAATCCATATATACGACTCTTGTTTCTAGAGTTCAAAAATTAGTTCTCACACTTTCTAATAAAAAGTACAAGTTTGAGTAAAGCTAATTTGGTTTATTACAGTTAATAATGAATAAATAATATATGTATTATTTAAGCACACGATTAGGAGTTTAATTCTCATATCCATATCTATTTATATTTAAAGATATCAATGTTGTAAATGATTTAGTTTCTGCTGGAAGATGCCTTGGACAACCAAAAAAATAATAATACTATACATATTGATAATACAAATATTTTTTGTTCTATCGTTCAATTATAAATTGTATAAAATTGTTATATTTTTATACAATAATTATCTTATAAATCATACTAAAATAATTTGTGGTTAATTAATTGATAATATAAATACTTTTATATTTAAAATACGTGCGTTTAACTCATCACTAGTTTATAATTATTTTTATTAAAATGAATTTTACATAACTTTAAAATAAACGAGCCTTTAAATAAAATAAATGAGAAGGTTTTATTTTAAAAAAATACTTAAGTTGACTTTAATAACCAAAAAGCGAGATTGATAACAAAAAGTAAGGATTGTAAAATTCAGTACTTGATAATTGACCGACTTATCAACAAAATAAATCGCCAAAAACTTAGCAGAAGTTATAAATTATATATAAAAGAACGAAAAATGTAAATCATATCGTACCATAATTAATATATAGATTTATCCATTTACATGGTACAATTAATCTCGGTAGAAATTGTGCTATCTCTTTCTGCGTTTCAATTCTGAATTCGGTTGATCTCAGTAACATGTTAGCTGTAATCGATGAAGCATTTAGATTCACAATAATTGCAATGCAAGTGTAAAGCAAGTGATTGACGAAACAAAAAAAAAAGTATATATGTATAATAATTATTTCTTAAGACAGTTTCGCTCGAATGAAGATCGATAGATACATCAATGTTGTATCAAATCTCTATCTTCAAATGAAAGTAAATGTTGTATTCCATAGTTTATTGATTCGATAGTCTGTCATCATTTGTAAGATATTTTGAAAACGGATCCTCTAAATCCTAATTTCGCATATATAAGTTTTAAAGAGGTTGTTTGAATTTGCTTTCTTTCAGCTTTTTAATTTTCCTTTTTCCGAATATGTTCTACCACTGACATAGGATCTGGTTTTGCATATGTTCCATTCTAGATATGATTGATGATACAATTCGGAACAACAACGTACTAGAGACTCACAAAATATGATGTTAAACGACAAGTGAGATCTGCTTATTTATTTTCGATGTTGCTGATGAATTATTGTTTCCAAAGAAATTTTCCTGATAATTTTTTTTCCTGTTGGGCAAAAGTATTGAATGGTGCTCTTAAAAAATATATGATTAGTGAAGAGCAAAAGAAATCTAAAACACATTTTTAGCATCATATGCATGGTACAACTCCAACATCATTCATTCGATTAAGGGGACCGTACACATAATGGAAGTGTGTACACGTCTTTAGTGAAAGACTATAAACATAATCCCAGAGAAAGGTAATTTACAATATATTGTGCTCTATCTTTTAATTGAAATTAAAATTAATGCATGAACATCAATTGAACTACTCTTAGTAACTGTCATTAGATGAACATATAAAAAAATACTGAAACTCTGCAACTTATAAATCATTAGTTCTTCACAAATATAAAGAAATTGAAATATAGTTGTATGGAAGATGTTAAAGTCCAAAGTCAAGAAGAAACATAACTAAACCATCGTTCAAGTTGATAGGTAGATTTAAGCCTTAATTTGTTCATTGCTTACAAATAGCTTACATAAACACAAGTAACAATTATTGTAATGTGTTTCATTACTATTGGTTTAATATTATTTCTGCATTTTAGAGGGAACTTCAATTCATTGCAATAATCTTAATTTTTCATAATAACATAGGTCACAGACATGTTAATTATGAAAGATATATCTCAGAATTCTAACATACCTTAAGACTGCTTGTAAATAGAGCCATACCACAAGAGAAAGTGAGTAGAAATTAAAGAGCTTTCAGTTTTCAAAACTTGAATTTAAGCTAATGTTGCAAATCAATGTATCGCTAACCTTAAGTCCAAAGATAAATTAAATAGGTAGAATTAGATTGTTCAACGCAACAACAAACTAGTTTGACCAGCCATGTGAAGTCATAGTACCAGACAATGACCCAAACCAGAGAGCTCAAACTCAATCCTATGTTTTATACCCCAATAATACATGTGTTAAACTTTTTGCAAACATATATATTTATTTACATACGATTCTGTTCTAGAAAACAAGAAAATCCTGAAGCATTTAGTCATCAATAAGAAAAAGAGTCAAATCCAAAAGCAGAACTGATATATGCTACTTTACGAAGAAAGCAAAAGCAGCACCATCCGGTTAATCAAAAGATAGTCATATACATTCTACATTTTCCCTTGACAATATCAACAAGAGCACTGAAATTAATTTATGCATTAATTAAACATGATTAAAATGAACATTAGAGATTAATCAAAATGCTTTATATATGTGTAACAGAAGAGTAGAAAAGATAAACAGTGTTACCCAAGTGTCCATGAAGTAAAAGCATTGAATGATCCATGGTAGTACACAATGTTCCATCAACGTACAGACATACCTACTGAGCTTTGCAGGTGTGAAGGGGTTCTGCAGTACTACAAATTCCATAAAGGTAGTAAGAGCACTCAACTCCATCGTTACTGAATATTAAACCTCAAAATGGCACAAGAAAGGATTACACTGCATTACCAGACAGGCCAATAGCATCATTATCCTTCATGTCTCATTCAAAGCGTCGTTCAGCTGCACTTGATTGAAATTTTCCAAAGGGACCTGCAATATTCAACCATCCATGATGAAATTTATTTATTAATAAAGGTAAATATCCAAAAGTTATGATCTAGGGTAATTATTCTCTTATATATTTAGAAAACATATTAACATAATATTATTGAGTTAACCTCTTTTGCTCCAAGCCTTGTAGCATAGTTGTGTAGTAGTGTGATCAGATCCTCAAGGCAAAGCTGGCAGTATATATATTAGTCATTAATTGCTGCTGCAGCATCATCAAGATTCTCATAGCAAAGGGGTAATTGGTTTGGAGCAATAAGGGACCACCTCAAACAAATTAATGCCACCTAAAGCTTGTGAATCTTGATGATGCTCCACCGGCAAACAGTGACTGGTTTTCTTTAGTCTAATTAGGACTTTATAAGATTCTCTCTCTGCGTGACCACCACCAAGATCACTAGTCCATGCAAAAGAAAAGCTTCAAAAAAACAAAAGGAGGAGCCGAAAATGAAGGATATCATATCAGGAAGTAGAAAAGGAGGAGAGTTGAAGAAGAAGAATAGAACAGCCCTAACCCTAACCCTAAATGTAATCTAATCCAACATACAAGGCATAAAAGTAAAGGCAAGAAAAGAGGGACAGTAGTAATGTAAGGCATAAAAGGCTCCTCAATCCCATGTGTATATGTAGGCCATGAAAACAGACACAAGACCCACTTGGTAGTATTATTCACTGATATGTCTCTATACAAAAGAAAAGCAATCAAAGTACCACCACCTATAGATATTAACGCATAGAAAGCAAACAGAAACTGTTGAAGGGTTAAGAAGAAATTAAGCAAGGAGAGAGAAAAAATGAAGAGACAAAGCAAGAAACTCTCAAATCAGAACCGGAAGAAAGCTAGGTTGAAGAGAGAGTAGATAACTGAGAAGGAAGAAAGTGTTTAGTGGTGTATATATAGAGAGAGTGGTGAAGTAGGGAAGGGAGAGAGAGAGACAGAGAGTGTGTTTATAAGTAATAAATGAGAGAGGAATTGGTTGGTGCTTAAGATGTGTCAGTGAGAGAGAGAGAGAGAGGATGTAACACGTAGAACAGTTATACATCGTAATCTTAGGCACCAAATTTACCAAAAACTTAAACCTCTCTGACCGAGTCCTTGTTCCAGAGATGGAAGAGGAATAATAGGTAGGGTGAGTGAGAATTGGGAAATGGAAACTTACCCAGCAGAGGAACGAGGTGGCGTTTGGGATTGGAGCAAGTGTTTGCGTCCTCTACAAGCGTTTTCAAAGTGGGGGCCGGAATTGACAGGCCCTGTAACCCTTAGCCCAGCCAAAGTGTGCCCTTTTCTTCTTCCCTAGGGTTTCCTTCTTTTCATTGATCCCCCTTTTGGACTCTTCTTATGTTTCATTATCACAAATCTGCTATACCCTACATAAACAATGCCTTTTATTTCTTAATCACTCTCTATGTTTTCACATCATATAATTCACTCTATCTCTTTTCCCACGCCCTCCTCAACAAATTATATTCATTTTCACTTTGCTGGGTCTTCTGTTTTTTTAGTAATACTTCTCACTTTTTGAAACCAATTGGGTTAGGCTATCTCTAACAATGTGCATTAGTCATATCCAGAGTCCAGTCCATGCGTGTGTGACCAGTTTACTTCAAGTTGGAGGCTTAATTTCTGTGATACTCTCTAATTTACATTATACATTTTATACAAAATACTGCATTAATATATCTATAATCTACAAAGTATATAAGGGAGGTAAGAGCTTTGTATAACTTTATTTTCGTCTCCACATTTTTTAAATCATAAAATCTTACTAATACTTACCGGAAAGAGGTACATGCCTCTATATGTTTATTTTTGAAGAGTTTTAAAAATAGATTATTGTAAAAAATATTAAGATTTGACAAAAGATAGCTACTACAATATATATCTACTTTAAATAATTATCTCAAACTATTCAATTCCTAAATATAAATCATCCACTATCATCTAATTTTTATTATTTGTTTATTCAAATATTAATATGTTATTTTTTTTAAGTTCTAAATAAGCATATAGCTAGAGTTACAAAGCGCCCTTTTCTTCGCTGGTTTTGAACATATATAATACAGCACTGTGGTTCACAAATAATTTTATTTTTTTTGAAATATGTAATCAGAAAATCTATCTCTATAGAAGAACATTCAATTAGAAAATATTATTCCCTTAAATAATTTTCATATCTAAAAATATGTCTTTGCCAAGCACAGCAAAAAAAGAAAGAAAGAAATCCTGCATATATACATATTGTACATGTGAATACAAGATTTTAAAAATATTAGATTTTTTTAAAATTGGAAGAAAAAAAATCCAGAAAATCTTTCACGTACGTGATTAAATTGGATCATACTAATAATTATTTTATTGAAAACTTAGGTATATAAATAAATTACTTTTGACTTTTATTATCTCTTGGATAAGAAGAGGCGCCAAGATTTGTTTTAGTTTATGCTTTTCCAATCATAACAAGAGGGGATCTTTTCATAAAAGATTAAAATAAAAAAAAAACAAGACGGGATTTTTATTTTACACGACAAGAGGGGATCTTAATTTAAAACACTCATTTTCGCAATTAATATATAATATTAATTGCATCCTTTTATTTTCATATGGCATGTTCTAAAGCGATGGACATACCTAAAGTCCCATAATAATATGATGTCTATAGTATTTATCTCCGGTTTTCGTGATTAGTTATAAACTAGACACTGGATATTTACACGCGTAATAAAATTAAATCAATATATTGTGAAAACAAATATTACTCAATGTCTATAACATCCTATTCTGTCATCTTCAGTCATCACCGACCATGTTCCCACGACAAAATAATACTACAGCATCCCTTGTCACGTTAATAACCATAAATAATACTGGTCACAGGACTTTTATGCTTATAAAGTTACAATTACTAAAGTAAGGCACACAGTTATAACTATTGTAAAATTAAAATATTTGAAAGAAAAACCAATAAACAAAAATAAACACAAATACTACATTAAATTAAATAAAAAAGAAAATGGGAACAAAAATGTTAAATATATTATATTCTAATCTAATTATATCGATCTATTTGTGTTAAAAACAACATAAGAAGACAATTATATATGAACATTTTTTTAATAAGATGACAAAATAGATTAGTTTAAATTGTTTTGACCAATTTCATCATTAGTTTGTGAAAAACGGGATTTAATCGGGGACTAATTTATCAAGTGATTATGAATTGAAAATCATGACTCACCTTACTTAAGAATAGATTAAAGAATTAGTTTTAATCATCACAATATATAATTGTTTTATCTTTAATTTTTTTATGTATAAAGTCTTTAGTTTTTTGTGTGCATAATATCCTTTTATTTAATGTTTTTTAAACACAAATTTCTTGATTCGTGCACTATTTTTGAACAAATAAACTCTTGTACCCCTTAACACATAAACAAGAACTAATGAATTTATATACGATTTTTGAACAAACGAACTCTTATGACTTAACAATCAACTATTAACTCCAATTTCAAGCGCAACCCTAAAACTCTTGAACCAAGAATTTAGCAATTTAAGCACAACTCGTAACTCTTTCCTTCTAAAAAGTTTGGAGCTCAAGGGACTTATGTATCGCCCAACTCAACTAGATCGAGCTAAACATCTCCTACTCGCCCACACTAGACCTCCAGTCCATCATCATAAAGTGAAACTCTACATATGATTAACCCCTAATAATTAATTGGATATCTTGGCATGAATATTTTTTAAAATATCATAATCAAACATATTATATTCACCTAATAGGATATTTTCACTTATCAAGAAGAGCAATATCTCCACTAATCAATAACAATATATTCACACAATCACTATAATATATCTATAAGATATCATACAACATTATGTCTAAACTTGGAGAAAGATTAGGGGTGAGAATAGGCTAGGTCATACCATCTTTTAAATATATAAGTCAAACCTGTTTTATAAAATTAAAGGAGTTAATCACCTATACATTGCCAGTGTAAAGTTTTTTTACACTGACAGTCAATCAGAACCGTTAATAGTACCTTTTCATCTACTCAATTAATTAAATTAAAATAAAAAAGCACTATTAACGGCTCTGATTGACTGTCAGTGTAGTGTATAGGTGATTAACTCAAATTAAAGTCTAAACTTGATCTATTATCTTAAGCTTTTTTATAGGTCTGATTTGCCTTTTTTAGAAGTTTGACTTGACCCATTAACCTACTTAAAAACCTACTTTTACAATTAGCCTATTTAAAAATTTATTTTGCATTAACAATGTTAAATAGGTCAATAAATATAATTTTAAATAAGTCAATAATTATACTTTTAAATACATGTGCAATTTTCATGATAAATCATTTTTTACTTGTATGATAAAAAAGTAGTTTACATTATTATTAAAATTTAAAGTTTAAAATAAAAAACAAACTACTTGAGGGACTTATGTTATACACTAACGTATACTCATGCTAAGTTGTAATGTAATGAAGAAGATAATCCTATTAAATTTTTTTTTAATATTTTCTATATCATATTTAAAATTTTCTAAATAATCAACCATGAAAATGAAGGAAAAAAACATGCAAAGATACAACTACTAGAGGTTTATTTTCAATATCTTAATTTCATACAAACAAAGAATGTAAATTTTTTAATTATAGTGGAAATGTAAAAAATATTGATAATTTAATGTATTTTATTACAAGTTTATTTATTTAATTATATTATTAATAATGTTATATAAGTCTATAAATTTAAAAACTATTTGATATTTCATTTTGTTAATTCAAATCAATGGATAATCATAAAAGTATTTTATACATTAATTTGAATCTAAACCCCTACCGAATCAATACAATTTTTTTACACTTGCTAGATCAATAGCCGCAAATTGGGATATCAATCTCTAAAAACATGATTTCTTAAATGTTACCACTTAAACTAGGAAATCTAGTATTCCTATCAGGGTGGAACAATTTGGATACAAACCTACCATATCATTAACTTGTAATATATAGTAAGCTCCCTATGGAATTAGTCCATTGACTATTTTCCATATACTTTGCTCTTCCAATATTTAGTTAGGGACTAAGCCCTTGAATTTGTACTTTATTTGGTTGGTCACTTTTTACATGTAAGTCTTGTCCTTGTTCATATATGGATCAACCATTGGTCACTTATAACTGGTATACCTCAACCTGGCCCACATATCGCATAAACTAATGTCCTAGAGGTGACTTTCCATTTCAAGAATAAACCATTCTAGAGGAACTTTCAATAATTGGACTCATAGAACACCACACCAATATCCTCACAATGGAATATTTAACTTTCGAAAACACCCTCTTCTCTAGTCCTAAATTGATCCACACAACACACCTTGATGCCTAAATGCCTTGAGCACCCTCACCATTATCATCACCTCATCATTCACCAGTTAATCACCATAACATGCCTAAATTCTTAAAACATTCTCAACATCAACGCCACAATTGTTCAACAGTTAATCAACATTGCATGCTTAAATGCTTAAAACATTATTAGCATCATCACCTCAATAATTCAACAATTATTCAATAATTAAAAACTGAATGATTACAACGTGTTCTAGATATCCCTATTAATAAGCAAAAATTAGGATAAACCTTTAAGCACAATTATATATCTCATCAAGTACGGTCGTGCTCAATAACCTGGACGTGCTTTGTTAAAACAAGAAGGATGAGCATGCTTATTGGCAAGCACAATTGTGCTTTATTAGTGGCAAGGGCATGCTTCTCGTTCAAGAACACTCTGATGGAAGCATGATCGTGCATATTGGTAAGCACGTACAACCTTGTATCATAACACAGTCACGCATTTGGGCGTGCTTCCGCTTGAAGCACAATCGTGCATCAAACAAGCACAACTATTCATGGCTTCAAAGTTTATAATTGCTCCATTTTATTTTTTTTAGTGCATGAATTTCATCTCTTTAAATATTTTCCCAATTTAGGTGCACACTTAACAAGAAAAGTGAAGTTTTGTCAAAGAATTAACATTAAAATAGGACAAAACAATTGTGAATGACATGTTATTATGCAGTATATTGAGGGTTTAACACTCTACGACTATTGGCCACCCTAGATTGGT